TTTCCCACTGTAATTCCTCTTGTTTTTATATTGCTTACGAGGACAGTTCCTGTCATATACTTTCTTGAATATATTTAAAAATTGCTCATATGCTTTATCTAAGTCTCTGTAAACTGATTCCCAGTTTTGCCCCATAAAATCCTCTTTTAGCCTCCTTACAGCATGTTCATCCGTCACCCTCCTATAGAAAAGATTTGTTTTTGGCCTCTCTTTTCTATACTGGCCCTCATAAACCACAAATACTGGTAGATGATCACTTATATCATTTATAAGTAATCCACTTGTCATTTTGCTGTCAATAACATTGGTAAAGTAAATATATTATCTATTAGTGTTGCATGCTGGGTTGTTACTCTACTTGGTTTTGTAATTTTTGGGTATAAACTGCATCTATATATTGTGTTAATAAACTCCTCAGTTCCTGTGTGCTTGTTAGGATTTAACAAATCTATATTGAAGTCACCACATATGAACATTAATTTATGACTTATTGTCAAGTATTTTTATATATATATGTTTTAACAGTGAATCTTTAATGCCTTCTACCACAGGTTATTCAGTTCTTGAAGAGAAGAAGCTGTTGAGCTATAATGACTACACAGTGGTGACAGGGTCTCCCAGGGATGAGTCCAAGGGCTCTGTGATGTTTGGGACAAAGTTTGACAACAGCATCAAGCTGGTGCTCTCCATCCCCGGAGAACAAGTGGGCTCCTACTTTGGCAGCAGCCTGGCTGTCACTGACCTCAACAATGACGAGTGCGTCTCTTCACAGCTCACTGACAGTTGATATTATATTTAGCCTTTTCTTTCTTATACAGGACATTTCATATTTAAGAACATTATTCCTTGTTTGGATCTCCACAGTGAACTGACTAGATGACTGCTGGGGTTTCACAGGGGCAAGCATTATGTTTACAAGCATAAGTTGTGTTTTTCTATGCTGGAAATCAAAAAGGCTGTTTCCTTCATGTCCTTGCTTTGAGAGTAACCTCAAATTGGAATTCATCCATTCATTAGTTCTAAAAAGATGTATATAGGAGCTGGCATTATAGAAGGAAACCTGTCATATCAGCAGCTCAGAAGGCGTCGTCATGATACAGCCATGTATTTCCCTTTAGTCTATCAGTGAAATATTGTTGGATATCTACATTTGGCCTTCAAGAGGTGTAATGTTGGTGATCATGTTTGATCATATTTGGGCTGTACTGGTATATTAATGTATATATTTGTATGTTTCCTCTGCTTGTTCCAGCTGGAATGACCTGATTGTGGGTGCACCATTTTACTTTGACCGCATGAAGGATCAGGGAGGAGCGGTGTATATCTTCATGAATGAGAATGGATCTTTTCAAATGAATTCCACTGTGACACTGAAGGGTCCATCGCACTCTGCATTCGGCTTGGCAGTCGCTGCTATTGGTGATGTCAACCAAGATGGATTCCAAGGTACAGTACAACTCTGAACTCAATACAAGTTGAAATAAAGCTAAATAATTGTGGGTTTATTGCAACATGTTTTTTCATGATTTTGTCTCCACCCTCTGTATAGTAAACTGAGTTATCCCATCAAGTCTTTAAAAGAAAACATGATGGGCCATGTTGCATTTTACACCATCTAAAAGCTGTACAAAATTGCCACCACTGGCTGTTTGCTAGTTGTTATATAATGATGTGCTGCCACCTAGAGGTCTGCTACATTCTCTGCTCAGACCTTCCTGAGGTTGTTTTCAGCAGTTTGCCTCTCCACATTTCCTTGACATGTCACTCCACCTATTACTGAGTGCAGATTTTGCTGTGGGAGCTCCATTTCATGAGACAGGAAAGGTCTACATTTGGATGGGAAGTAAAGAGGGAATCTCAGTGGAGCCCAGTCAGGTAATATCTGACTTTATACCATGGATGCCCTTCAGACGTAACTGATAGAGTCCAGAGTCATTGTGGTGATCTTCCATGTTTTAATGTTGCTCCAGGTGATTGAGGGTAAGTCGGTGGGTAATGGATTCCACACCTTCGGCTACTCCATCAATGGAGGGATGGACATGGATGACAACAATTACCCTGACATAGTAGTTGGCTCTCTGGATGACCGCATTGCGCTTCTCAGGTAGAAATAAAAAGCAAATTAAGCATATTATTGTTGTTTTGAGTAAATATGACAATTTTACTTTAGTAGTTTTTCATTCAAATAAAACATCTTACAAAAGTCAGGTAAACTATGGGATAATAAAAACTTTTTGTTAAACTGAAAATGATATCAAACATAAAACAAAAGATTTGTTCTTAAAAAACACTAACATAATAAAACTACTTGGAAACAGTTCAAATATACATTTTGGAACCTTACATGGAAGATGTTGCTGGTTTTTGACTTTAGATAGTAACAATGTGTACTTTTTTCCTCAAATACAGTTTGATACCTTTATTTCTTTTTATTTGCATTCAGAGCTCGACCAGTCATCCACTTAACAAATGGCTTCACTGTGGACCCTAAGATTGTGGACCCCAGTCAGTGTGCTGGAAATGCACCATGGTGAGATGTTAGTTCAGAATATATCATTCTGAAACTGGCTTAGTTACATTTTGCTAAACGTTGTTAATGCACCTTTGTGTGTTACAGCATCACAGCGACTGTGTGTATGTCTTTCACTCTAAGCAATGGAAACAGAGACTTCAAGAGAGATATCAGTAAGCAGTCTTCCTTTCATAGATGATGTGATGTTTTCAGATTATATCAAATTGTCAAACTACTGTACTACCAGCTAAACACTTGTCTCAGCATAATATAATGTACAGTTTGTTTGCACCCTATAAAGCGGTGAAGTACACGGTGGATGCGGACATAGTGAGGAGGAGAAGTCCTCGAGTGACTTTCCAGAACAATAATGGTAACACCTACACTGGGTTACTGAGCCTGCCATCATCCAAAAACATGTGTCACACTCTACAGCTGGGTGTAGTGGTAAGGTTTCATACTACATCGTGTATGTGTATTCATTTCTGTTTGTAAATGTGCATTTTGTTGAATTAGTGGCACAGACTTTTAAATTATTACTTAATATTCATATGCTTATTTAACTTCTTGGATGAATTACCAGGCACCTGTGAGGGACAAACTGGAGCCAGTGGTCTTTTCTCTGAAATTGGCCTTAGATGAACAAAAACCTAGCCCTGGGCAGAGCCTGCAGAACCTGGACTTATTCCCAATTCTGAACAAGAAGCAGAAACTCTCTCAAACAGCTGAGGTATGGAGTGGTGCAGACACTACATTGATAGGGTACATTTTAAATCACTTAGTGAAGCACAAGTACATGTGACAGTCCTCCTGAAAAATATGATACTTTAATATTATTTGTTCAATTTCCTGCAGATTAACTTTCAGAAGGAGTGTGGCTCAGACAACAAATGTACTAGTAACCTGCAGCTGACAGCTCAGTTTGTTGACACAGAAGATAAACCTTACCCCAGGTGAAGATTAAGCCCTTTTTGACTGAAAAGTTGTAACTGAAAACGTGTATTCACATAACAACCACTGTAAAAAAGAACAGGATAATATTTGGGGAAATGCACTTAATCACTTTCTTGCCAGGAGATATATGAGAAGACTGGTACTACTGCCATGTCTGTACAGTATGAAGCTACTACCAATAGCCACTTAGCATTATCTTAGCATAAAGTCAGGAATGAGTAATATATCCCATTGTGTAATCCATACAAAGCCAGGTTAGCTGTTTTGTGCTAAGGTAAGCTAACGCTATCCTGGCTGTAGCTTCATATTAGGCATACAGATATAAGAGTGGCGTTGGCCTTCTCATCTTACTCTTGGCAAGAAAGCTCCTGGCTGTAGCTTCATATTTGGCATACAGATATAAAAGTGGTGTTGCCCTTCTCATCTTACTCTTGGCAAGAAAGTTATCTCTTTAATGCCAGTAAACAGTATGGTGACTTTAAGCTTATTTCCTAAAACCAATACAAATGAGTGTAATGAATGGTAATGACACATTCACACTAGTAGGCAGGCCCTGGACATAAGGCCTGAATGTATTGATTAGTCCAAAATATCAAAAAATAAGTGTATAATACATGTTATACATGCATTATTTATATACGTATTTTTTGTTGCTTTGATTATTTTAGACTAATTAATGTCCCTATATCCAGGCAGGGCAAATTGCAGGTGCTTCAATTCAGCAGCAGTATGAAGATAATAAGGCTGATGGTGGAAGTGACTAACTTCCCTACTGGTGGGAAGCTGGCTGAGGACGCCCACCAGGCCACGCTCAACATCACCATCCCTGATGCACTGAGATACTCTGGCGTCAGGTCAGCGGTACGTCCACTGGAGGGCAGCAGATGTTTGAGAAATGTCCATTTATTAGTTATTTCCTCTTGCAAAGTCTTAAAGAACTTATAATAATAGCAGAAAATTACAGTTAGTTTGTACTTTAAAATAGATATTAAAATAGAAGCTATTCTTAGAAGAGAAATACAATATGTACTGATTGCACTTAGTTTCAAATGAATCTTCAGTCTCTTAAATTACTAAATTTCATAATTGAGTTTCCTGTTTTCATGTGCTGTTGTGTTCAGGACCCCAATGTAGAATGCACTATAGAAAACACAGTGATCTGTGAACTCGGGAATCCACTTAGAGGCAATGAAAAGGTACGTTTTCTCTCTCAGATTTTTCATCTGCTGTGTGGGCAGAGTTTTCTCTCTCAGATTTTTCATCTGCTGAGATTAGTTTCTGACACTTCCATTCATTTCATTCCACTGGTTTCATCTTCAGGTGTCACTTGCCCTCAAGTTTGAGACATCAGGGATCAACCTGTACACACAACATATTGAGTCCCAGCTGCTTCTGTCCACGTAAGGGATTAAGATGAAATCTCTTTATACTGTATCTAAGGTTAAAGCCTAAAAATGACTCTGAAGTGTCCATTAGAGTTGCAGCAGTTCAGTTTTTGCAATGGCACAGCACTATAGAGGCATGTTTTATGTCCACATTTGTTTATACTTGGGTCCCAGTTTTGATTCTACAGTGCAGCATTTTGTAGGTGTTTTTCATTTTTTAACATTTTTTAACTTCGTTGCAACATTTAAAATAGCATTTTAATCATCCAAGATGATGTTATTCTGGCTTTAATGTCATCACTAAATGTTCTAATAAGGGTTTATTTCTTCAGTCTTAGTGAGCAGAGTGACTTGAGTCCTGTGCCTGTGGCGCTGCTGATTGAAAGCACCATCCTCCCCTCCTTCTCCGTGTGAGTCCCATTATCTAAGAAGTTACTTTGTATATATGGACAGTAAAGAGCACAGAATTGGCATGAACACTGAAGCACTGAATGGTACATCACATTATCCTTTACATCAGTTGTTCCTTACGCAGTGTATAATCACATCTAACTCTCACCCTGTTCAGAGCGAATCAGTTGGTGCAAACACAATTCGGTGGGACAGTGATGGGCGAGTCAGCCATGGTCAACACCAGTGACGTGGGCAGTCTGGTGGAGTTCACCTTCAATGTGAGTCACCTCCACCGCTTAGTCTATGTTAGACACCAGGACTGTATAGTGCATCTACAGTACATGTGCTACTCACCCACATTTCCCTCATCTCCACCCTTCCCGTCTTTGAAGCCAACACTTCTACTGGTCAGAAGTTTAATACTGTGTGGGAAAAGAATTGTGTGAGCTGTGGTTTGTGGTGTAAGCATAACCAGGGGTGGCTACTATTTAGGAATTACAAAGTCACAGTCACATACCAGATTATTATTTTGATTTCTATTAAGGATGCTTTTTTATATTGCTTTGTTCTGTCCTAGGTGAACATGAGGGGGCAGCCCTTGGGAGACTTGGGGACATTGGCTGTGGAGTTTGAGTGGCCTTTTGAGGTAACCAACGGCAAGTGGCTGCTGTACCTGACGAAGATTGTTGTTATGGGTGAATCTGAGATGGAATGTAACCCTGAAGGGGTAGTCAACCCGCTGAACCTAACTGTAAGGCTCTTTTATACTCTTTAGTATACCTTTTCTTCAAGTGGATTGATGTTTCACTCTCTTTTCCCTCAGTTGATCATGTTGATACCCAAATATCTTGGTCATCCTCACATGATGTTCAGATTGAGACAATTGAAACCCAAACCTGACACAGGCACTGCAGATTACACATTATTGGGTTGATCTTCAACCTGAGGCCTCTGAGCCATGTTTTTTTTACTTCCTATCTCCGTACAGTCAGTGGTCCAAAAGCTTTTCTGTTCTTATAGCTTAGTGCTGAATACACCATGACATACACACATCTAAAATGTTTGATTACTGAGCTGTCACAAACTTGATCATATGTAAACAGAGAGGTAGTAGTAATGAAAGGTCTAGAACAACAAGCCAAGACTTTGCATCCATGCTAGCAATTCTGTGAGGTTGTACCTAAGCATACACACACAGTTTTGAGCTAAATGCTAATGTTAGCATAGTAATATCCTCAGTGCTACAGTAGCCTACTGATATTTGGTGGGTCTTAATTTAGTATGTTTGCCAATTAGCACTAAACAACGTACAACAGAGGCTAATGGGACTGTCATTAGTTTTTCAGAATGCCAATAGGTCCTAAACCAAAGTAGGAGACAAATTCAGTTTAACCAACAGACAGATGTCACCACAGAGCAGCATTTACCTGCACATGAATCTTAAACTGCAAAATGTCATCATGCTGTTACTGTTTCAGAAATGTAACAGTGCGCTTCATGAACTTTACTTAAATGGGCTGCTATTAAGCAACATTAAAATGACTTTAACGTAACAGCAGGTGTGTTTTGTTCACAGGTTTGTTACATATGCTGAAATTCTGCCTGACATCATGTGAACTGAAGCTGTCTGTGTAGGACGAATAAATGTCAGTGGTAGAAAAGTGGTGTGAAGATGGTCTCAGTGCCAAACCACAACTGTTCAGAAATACATTTAGGAAAAAACATCTGTGTTGCAACAAACCTCACAGAGCCCCAAATAGAAAATCATAATGCGTGTGGCCTGCATTTAGACAGTGAGAATCACGATGCTATTCCTAGAAGAATTTTATCAGAACCAGTAATTACCACTAACCCTCTGACGCAGTGTCTCCGTCTCCTCAGCTTCCGTTTTTTATATTCCCGTCTCTCTCTTGTCTTTCCAGTTGTTAGGGGGCAGATCTAAGCGTGCTAAACGGCAGATTGTGGTGGATGAGGATGTGACCCAGCCACACATTATTGAGCCACAGGCAGCCAGTACACTGCTCCTCCACAGGAAAGAGACCTACCTTTTGGTAAGAAATTGATCTGCCTCAGTGCCCTCATGAACAGCTTTCACCTGGCATTTGAAGTATATTTTCTCACCTCTCCTGTTCAGCAGATGCACATATTTAGCTACAGTAATACAAACCAAAGAAATAACATCAAAGCAAGTTATAATGAAAAATGTAGATACATTTTAAACCTAAACTTTATGCCAAATATAGCATATTTACAAAACGTGGTCCCCCAATTTCACATTGACCACAAATGTCAGCACAAAATGTAATGGTATTCCATCCAATATTGGTTGAAACATGTTAGCTAAATACCACTAGCACTGCTTTCATCCCATTACTGAGAACCAAGTGACTTTCTGACTACTGTATATTAACAGTCTCCCTTGTCCTCCAGGGCTGCAGTATATGTACTATATAGGACTAATTACATTACATTTTTATTAATGCCTGTATAGTTCTTATTTAGCCTGTGCACATGCTAAGAAATTGGTAAAACAATGTAATTGTCCCTGTTTGTTCACTTGTTTCTTTCTCATTGTGTGTTGAAGGAATGCGCCAAGGGGACAGCAAACTGTGTGACGTTTACCTGCCCACTGCTCAACATGACAGATTCAGCCAAGATTTATGTCCGGTCCCGTTTATGGAACAGTACAATGCTAGAAGTACGCTGACTGGTTACAGTCACACACACACATACACACACGCACCCGCTGGGTAGAGAATATACTCTCTCTGGGTTCTGGGCATCTACAAGCTTTGACTTCTTTGTGAAAATTTTTTTATGCTGTGTGTGTGCATCTTCCTACAGGACTATACAAATGCTCTGAGAATTACAGTCAAGGGTCAGGCTACACTGAAGCTCATTACAGATAAACCAACCATCAAGATGGACAGTCAGACCACCACGGTGAGTGATGATGACAATCGTGATGATTATGGTCATGATACTGATGATTTTACTTGACTCTCACCACCATTCTTGTAGTTCATAGTGGAAATAGAACCAGTGCTGGGAGTGGAGATACCCTATGAGCTCCCGCTATGGATCATCATCTCTGCAGTCGTAGCAGGAGTCCTACTACTAGGAATTATCATTATTATACTGTGGAAGGTGAGACTACAGATCACACTGCACTACAAATATGGATATGCTGTAATTCTTCAGACAATAGCTCTGAATTTCTCCAGATGTGCTATTTACTTACTGACACCAAACATCTTCACTGGGTTATATGATAGCTGCTGATCCATTTATCTGACATCTACAGTATAACGTCCACATTGAGCCAGTAGTCTAACCTTTAACCTACCCCTTCCCCATGCACCCTCCTCCTACTCCACCCCCAGTGTGGCTTCTTCCAGAGGGCCAGCAGGAGGGAGATGTATGAGGCCAAGTCCCAGAAGGCTGAGATGAAGATTCAGCCCTCTGAGACAGAGAGAATGATTGAGGACCACTGAGGGCCCCACAGGTCCCCCAACAGCACTCACCTGTAGGGCTTTTGGGTAAAAACACCTATTCAGTTAGATTGGGCTTGACTCAGCTTACTACTACTACTTCCTGTCTCTTCACTTTACACCAGCTTCTTGTAGTTACTCTAACTAAAATTTCTCTTATTTCCCGTTCAGGCTGACACTGTGCATTGCAATGCTGACCACTTCTTATCATGTTTGTTTCCACTGCTGTCTTCTTGTCTGTCCTACTCAGTAGGATATTGCAGATCTCTGTTACCTAACTTGATGTTCTTCATGCAGCTTTTGAATCCTAAATCTTCCTCTTATCCTAAATCTTCCTCTTCTCACCCATGATGCCAGGTTTTCTGGTTTTAATGTTGCCTCCTATCTCTCCTCCCGCTAGGCTGGATTCTTCAAGCGAGCCATCTACTACCGGATAATGCCAAAGCATCAGGGAGTGAAAATTTGCAAGGCTGAGCGCTATCAGTTCAATCTGGGATTTCAGCCTGAGGAGCCCCAGAAAAAGTACTGGCTCACTAGCTGGACAGAGATGCAGCATTACTACTACTGAGGCCGTTACTTTGAACCCTGATTCACTCACTGTCACACTGGGCCAGGCAAAGAACACTGGGCTCCGTTGGGCCACATGGATTTTGCAGTGCATGGACCAACTGTGGATAGTGCATACATTTTTTTCATAGATTTTATCAACATTTTCCAGTGCAGCAGACTGAACATTTGAGTTTCACAGATTGTAATTTGTTAAGTATTTTTACAGTGTTGTACAGTGGAACTGGGGTTGCAGAAAAAGAGTGAATAGTCATTTTTTTAATTGTCGCAGGTTTTTATGTACAAAAATTAGCATTTGCATCTATGTTCTCATTTCTTTTATTTTTTCCCCTTTCTGAATCCTCTGAGCAACATTTGTCACATTTATTTCTACTGTGTCTGTTTTCCTCTCTAATCAGAGGAATGGATCTGTTGATCTTCTCTGTGCTTGGATAAGTCCTTCCTGCCCTGTCTTCAGTCATCACTTTGTGGCCAGTGGGTGTAGACTATATAAGGGTTTAAACCCACATCAGCTGTTTTGGAAATCATATTCATCTGCACTTAAAATATGTTGACCAGCATCCACTATATTATGAGTGAACAAATATCTTTAAATGAATGTCCATGTCATAGATTGGCAAGCATTTTATAGTCTAGCATCCCAAATGGAGCTATGGTTGTAGCTCTGACCTCATATGAGGAACGTGACTTTGTAAGCCACATGGAAACATTAATTTGCTGGTTTCAGGGAATGAAAAAGGAGCGGTACAGAGGAAAAAGCAGGAATCACTGGTGAATGATGTAGTTTGTAGCTTAATTTCCCACATTCCACAGCCAGAGTCACTGAAGCAACAACAGCAATAGCTTCTTGTTTGAATATTTGTCGATGAGATCACCTTGGTACTTGATTATTTATTAAACTGCCTTCTGTTATTATAGTGAAGAACCTACCTGGTTGTCTTTAAACATGGGCACATACAAGGAGTCACAACACTGGATTAAGTAATACATGATATTATATCTGTCTGGTGAGTTTAAGCTCTAGCATAGACAGATATATTATGATTTGTACATAATGAGAAGTTATGTTGAATTGAGTATTTGAGTGAACGCATTGGCTTTTCTTGTTTCACTGTTAGATTTTTGTACAAAACACTAAACTGACACTTGGATTGTTTCTAAGCCATCATGGCCTCCGCTGAGGACAACCTGGGTAAAGAGAGGACAGTAGCTGAACTGTCTCTGATGTGACTGTTTGTGTACCACTCTAGTCCATGTTATCTGAGAGCCCACAGGTACTCTCTTGTGGCTGTGGATGGCACAGAGGCTCCATTGTGAGTAAAGAGGGAACCCAATGCACAAACTCTGTTCTCTGTAGTGGTGGTGGTGTTTTTTTTTTAGCAGTTTCAATGTAATTAAATTGTTTTTAACAAACTTTACAATCCAGTCGCTACAATTTCTATAATGCACTGTTAAACCACACAGGCAGATTATATAGTTCATGTCTTTGTTAGTCCAGTTTTCTCAGCTTACTATGACCTGGATCACTGAGAATCTGCACCGACATTTCATGTCTTTATTGTGGAAATGCAAAGGATTCAACAAAAAAAGTAATAAGATCAAATATTCAAGAATGTTTACACAATTAATGCCTTTACAAACATTCATTTTAAAACACATGCTCCCTAAAGATTCAAGTATTACAAATAAATTACAAAATTGAGCAGTTCTTTTGCATAGGTAAAATAATTTGACTTCAAATGTATACAATAAATATATGAGACTAGATACGGAGGCAGATGAAGAGGAAAAAAGCTAATTTGATCAGATGTACTGTACAGTACACAGAAACACTGATGTTCACATTGTGGTTGGTACTGTGATGTTACAGTAGGCCGTCACTGACGACTAGTCCTTTTGTTTGAGCTCCATCATGGACGTGGACTTTGGAGACTTCTTTGTCTTCCTGTACTTATAGGCCAAGAGGATGGTGGCCACCAAGAGGACCACGCCAAGGACCAGCAGGATCCACTGGCCAGCTGCAGCAGCTGAGTTGTCCACGCTCATACCCAGGAAGTCCACATTATTGTCCACTTTATCGTCCACTTTACTTTCTTCAGCTTCACCTGCAGAGCGCGCAAACGCACACACACACACACACACACACAAACAAAATACTAAGTAAGCACTATGCTGGATTGGTTGTTTTTCACTCTCTCACAAACTCCCTCATTCACATTTAGCAAACTGCAGATTGCTCCACAAGGGGGAGTAGTACAAACATTTCAAGAGGTGTTCTACACTTGACTGCTAGTGGAGGCTAGACTAGACATTTTGCCACCTGAGCCACCTGCAGCCAACCACCATCACATCTACGTGTTCTTTTTATAGCTGAATATTTATGAGTGAGAACATTTACATTTTGCACTTGTGCCACCTTATAGCTAAAATAACTGAGGCGTAAATGCCAGTGGATATGAAATTAAATTCAGTCTGTGCCACATACCAACATGCAAGTTATTTCAGAAAACCCAAGTTTTTTATAAGCCAGATATTCAGCAGCAAAGACAAAATATCTCTTTCTCTGCAAAGTACCAGGAGGACAGGGGTGTGACGTCTATACTGTTCCTATCTACAAATGGCAGTCATTAACCCCCTATATCTCTAAACTTCTGTATAGCACTACTAATGTTGCTGCAGTCGCTGTCTTACAAAATAACTTTAACATGCTACTAAATCACATAATAATAATCAAAATCATAGTAGGCAGCTTGCTCCCTTTTGACTTGGTGACTTGGTGACTTTTGCATCTAAATCATTTATTTCTCTCTTAATCTCTCCAACAACAGCTGTGTTCTTTTGCCTCACTTTCTCTCATAGCTCTCTCTTTTACTCTTTTGCTG